CAAACACATTGGTGGGATTAAGGGCTTTTGGCTTCTTATGTTGTGAAAAATCTAGATAGTTAATGTTGAATGCTTACGAAATATGTATTAAGTGGTGCTGAAGAGGTTAACTGTACTGTAAAGTCTTTGTAGACATTGGGTATGAAATACTGGAGAAGTCAATGGAGGTAACAGTGTTTAATAGAAACAGAAAATTAGGATTCTTATTTGCCTGAGGTAAGTGCGAGCCTCTGTAATGTCTTGATCTTTGTGCAAGGACCTAGTAAAGAAGAGCAATCTTAACAGAAACCTTAAATTAGAAACAGGGGTTTTCATGACAAGAAGATATCTCTGGAAGGATGAGGTGTCACCCATTAATTGAAAAGAATAGAGAGAAAACATTTTGTTTAGTCTTTTTGACAAAACAAATTATTTAAAAACATCGGTGATATATCCCTAGTCAATTTTAAAAAAATGTAAAGCACATATGTAAGAAAATGGAATACTATGTAGAATAAAGGCAAAGATATTAATGATTGCTAGTTATTTGTCAAAATATGTTAATGAAGCGTTCTATTTTTAAGCTCATAATATGCATCTTGTCCTGGTTTGAAGTCCTGGGAGCTATTTTTTTCACGTGGTATTAGAAAAGGAGTGTTTAGAGAAAGGACTGCACTACTGTTAGCTTCTGTATCACTTGCCTGAATTATTTTTATACCACATCAACCATTTTATAAAGTTGAGAAGGAAATACATTCTTCACATGGATAATGTAATAGGCAGTTGTGATTTTTTTTAAATGCTTGATGTCTGGAGGCATACAATCTTTATAATACTGTATGCCTTCTATGTGTGTAAACTTGTTAGTGTAGGCTACTGCTGAGACAAGTTTGAAGTGTAAAATGGTGTGTGGTCTTGCAAGTGATCTCTTTCCGATCTTTTTTTTACTTGATGGAAAAGGTTTAGGCAGTCTGCTGTGATAATTCTAAAGGTTAACTTTTAGGTTGAATGTTTGTAAATGTGAAACTTGAACTTAAGTTTTGAGAAGTAGAATTTGACTACCAGATCACAACAAATTGAGTGGATGATTTTAAATAAACAAATAAACTACATAAACAAATGCATTGCAAATGAAACAGTGTTTTTGTATTTGTACGCTAGCTGTGTGAGAAATGCTGTTGGTTCTTTTTGCTTTGTTTCAGAGGTTCTTTGATTTCATGTTTTCATTTGCATATTCAAGATTGATCAACACTTTGCTGTTGGTATTTTTTAAAGGGTAGTCTCATTGGATGTGGGGAGAGGGTGCATATCTGCAAGTTCTCTGCCTGGCTATATCCCACGACACTGACAATCCAAACAGGCTGGAAAAGGGAGTGTTGCCTCTCACGGTGGCGTAGTAGGCATTGCACCTCAGATGGATCTGTTATCACTGTGGAAGAACTTTTTATTTCTACATTTCTAATTGAACTCCCACAGAGGCTGATTTAGGTTGTGTAGATTGGTAGCATCCTTTTGTTTTGAAAAAGGTTTGTAGTTGTTGTTAATTGATATCTAATTGATAATATCAGCAACTGAGTGTGAGATAACTGAGTTCAGTTACTGACCCAACAGAGCAGCACTGAGGTGACTGGAAGAAGTCACATGCTGTAGGTAAAGTGGGCTTTGCAATTGCACACATTGATTTTTGTAGAATAAGGGAAAAATTAATTTGCAGATGAGATATTGATGGGGCATATGCTGCTCTGTGAAATTGCCTAGTAGTTATAGCGATACTGTCACTGTGCATGAGGATAGAAGGTCAGATTGTGTACAGTCGTTGATGTACCTTTGGCAAATTTGTGGTGGTGCTTACTGTATATATAGCCATAACTTGGAATGTGGTTATGATTGATGGGTTGGGTTTGGTAGAAGAGTGTGTATAAACAAGGAAATGGCTTTAAAGAAGAGACATTGATTTTATTTTTATAAAAATAAAACACATTTTCTTACCTTTTTTCTTTTTAGACATAATGACAAGTTATCCTTGGAAGGGATAAACATTGGTAATGACTTTCCCCTGCATCTCTTGAAGTAGTGTATATCAGGCTAAAGAATTCTGTTTCTTTTTTAGGTCTCTCATACTACTGAGTTATGTATGTTTATCTATTGTTTCTCTGTGTATAGGTGATTTGGAGAGTTAAACATTGATGTTCTTGTTTTAATAATACAAATATACAAATGTAAGGTATTCATAGTATTTGTGGGTCATATTTTTCTTACTTTGAAATGTGTGAACGTTAAGGATAAAAGACCAATGAGAAATTTACTTTTATTATTAATATTAGCTACATTTACACTACTAAATTCTCTTGAAGTAATTGTTCAACACTCTGCTTTTAAGGGTTTAATCTGTTTTATGGATGTCCTTTTAGCTGTAAAATAGTGCAATAGACAGAAGAAACTTTGCTTGACTGTCACCATGTTCCAGAACTTCACTTTGGGAAATTGGATAGACTTATATAGTTCCAAACTGTTTGGCTGGGAAGCATGCTGCCTTTGATTTTGACATAATGTGGAACGAGTTGATTATTTGCCTCCTTATATAACTTATTTGTTTGTCATTAAACATTCTGATAAGGTCTTATTAAAGTACCATGTATTATTTATGGTATATCATATGAAAATGAGTTGAAGGGAGAATTCTATTAGCTTAAGGCATTCGCAGAATAACAGCCTTTCTGTGCTAGGAAAAAAAGAATGAAGAAAAGCATGACATACTCCTGTCAGAACAGGAGACTGCTTAAGGCAGAGAGAAAGAATGAAAAAAGGAGAAAGGGCATAGAGAGAGTTCATTTCTCCTTCTTGCTCTCTCTTGCTCTGTGGTGTGTGGGTGTTTTTTTGTTGGTGGCTTGGTTTTTGGTTTTGGGGGGGGGGCTTTATTGCTTTTATGGTTTTGGGTTTTCTTTTTTTGTGATAATCTGTGCTGTTTTGTATCTGGGCTGTTGTAGTAGATCAGTCCATGATAAACTGCAAAAGCATGGATGTTTCCTAAGCCAAAACCAATCCCTGTATTGTAAGTTTGTGCGTGATTGTTTTGGTGTTGATTGCTGAGTTCTGAATACATTGGTTTTGTTGCATTGACTGCTCTTGGGAAAGAAAATTATGTAATAACTGATTCTGCTGGAAAATTTTTGGTTTTGCATGAAGAAGACTTAGTGGATCTAAATAAGTCTCTGAAGCTTGTGTGGGTGCAGGTATGTGTGCGCACATATAGAATGAAAAAGAATATATTTTTTTAATACAGCGCCTGAGTTGCAGTGACATGTTTTGTATCTGTTTCCAGTTAAGCAGGGACTATTATTTGTTTTTAAGGGTAGATCTTAATATCAAATCAGTTACGCTGTTGATGAAATAGACTTCTCTTGTAAGTGGGTTATTTATTTACTTCTCTTGTATGTGGGTCATTTATTTATTGTTGTTAATGTTAAAGTCTTGATATAAGATGTGCTTTTGTGGGAGTTAGATATCCTATAAAATAGGTAATTTTAAGATCTTCTGCAGAGTGTTTTTAAAAGGAACCCCTTCAAAACCTCAGGTGTTGCTTTGAGGTTTGACCTTCTTTCCTGAAGAATTAATATTTAATTCATTTGTCAAATTCTAATTAAAAATAGTAGTATCTTCTGTTATACTTGAGTTGTATCTAAGAGGAAAAAAAAAAAAAAAGAGACCTGTAATATAGGACCTCAAGGACAAGCTGTAATATAAATTATTTGATTTGCAGGTCACATCCTACTTTATTACATAAAGACTAACTAGATCTACTAATGAATAATTATTACTCCATAAAATAAAGGGGGGAAAAGAAAAAGCCTGCAAGAGTGGAATACTAATTTGAGGTATCACTCTCAAAGTAAAATGTAAACATTAAATTCTGAAAATTGCAAATGTAATTTTTCCATGTAACCTGATAGGGCAGTCCTTTATAATAGATTGACTAGCTGTCAAATAAATTTGTAATTTTATATGAGATGGGTTTTAGACCAATTTTAAGATACAGTCTTTATCCAAGCCTGCTCCCCTCCCCCCAGTAAAGTAGACACAGTGTGCCATAGAATTTTGTTTCATTCCTAGTGTTTCTGCTGCAGTGGTTACACTGATATTTCACAGTTTCGCTGTAATGCTTTTATGGGCTTCTCTGGGAAACTAGATGGTGAATGAAACGTAGATATAAAATTAATTTGTATTTAAAAAAAGCTCATGTACTGACAGCACTGTATATTTGCTGGAATCCTCTTGACTAGCCAAGATTCTTTCCCTTCCCCACTTTGTGCTTCGTACTTTTGTTCTTAGAAGGGGAAAGCCCTTTTTATGTCAGGTGTGAGCCCTGGGAGGAAAAAAAAGTGTGCGTGTGAGTGTGTATGTGTGCGTGCAGAATCATAACAGGCATTCAGTCCCAGCTGGGCAATGACACTAATTGCCCAGATCTCATGGATGCCTGTGATGCAGCGCGCTCACTTTCTCTCCTTCCCTATCCTCTCCAGGGATTTTTAAAATGCAGTATTTGAATTTTGGTGAGTGGTAAAGACCCTGCCCTAGGACCCATTTGACAAATGAGAAGCTGTGCAGCATCAGCACCAGCCGACTGAGCCTCACTGAGTCAATCTCTCTCTCTACTAGTCAGCAGCTACTGTTGTGAGACAAGCTTCAGCTCTCTCTGTCATTGAGGAAGTTCCATTTGCTCATCAATAGGCTGCAGGCTGTGTCTTCTTTTTTTCCTCTCTGTTAAAAATTCGTAGTTTAAATCTACCAAGTTGCCTTAGCTGACAAATGAATGTAGGGATCTAGCGCTGGGAAAAAAAAGGCATTCAAGAGATACTGTTTCTTACTTAAATATCAAAAGGAAAAAAACGTAGTGACAAGATAGGGCAAACGTGCTTGCATGCAAGCCCCCTCACTTGTTCTACGTAGACTTCAGAGCAACACCATGCAGCATCCCCTTACGGGTGCAACCTGCGTGGCACTGCCGAATGTGGGCATGTGTCCCCAGCTCTCCTGTGCCTTGACTTTTATGTACTTACAGCAGGTAAGTTTGCTTAACTTTTTTTCTTTTCCTATAGTGCCTGCTTTGTCAGCATCGTTTGGGGGATTTCTAATCTTGGAGATATTTTTTGTGTGAATAGACTGTATAAATGTCTCCCACTGTGTGGAGTGAATGTTGTGCCTGCACTTAAGAATGGTGAGAGTGAGTAGAAAATATGTTTTAACAGAGCATCAAGCCTTTGCATATCTTTTTTTTTTTTTTTGTAATGTCTTTATTGATGCTGTTTATAGATATTTAACACAGTACTTTGACTGCCTTTCTCGTAGATACTGTAGCAGAGTTTCAGCTATAAAGGACTGCTCTTTATTCACTTGCAGGCATAAATTATACTTCTAATGTAAATGTGCCCAATGGCAATTTTGTTTAAACCTTCTTTGAAGCCAGGAATTTTAAGTCTGTGTTGAAACATGCTGCTGATTAAAATCAAGCTGATTTTTAGTTCACGGGAAAAAAAGAAGAAAAAAAAAAAGATTTATAAAGCTATATCTGTGCAGAAGTAATACTTCTGTTACTGAAGTATATTGGAATGGGTTTAAAAAAAATGCTCTGATATCAGCAAAATGATATCAATATCTAGTCCATTTTTAAGATTTTTTTTTAATTAATTTCATATAGTTTTTGCTTCTAGGGTTTTTTTTAAAGTATTTCCACCCCTCTCCCTCCCCAAATTATTTACTGGTTGGTACCCTCTCTCTGTTATAACAGGAAATAAATAACCGGATAATAACACATTATTTTTTAAACTGTTATTTTGGAATAATTATTGTATTCTACTTCCCTGTTTTATAACTGAGTCCACCATTGTAGAGAGTCATCTAGTAATTATGTAGAGCCAAGACAGAAATATGTTATCATGCAAAAATGATTAATCCTGTTTATTCTGTTACTTTCTGCTGAAACTTCAGGGAAAAAAATCTTGTGCCTACAGTAACAAATAGGGGCAACTTCCACTACAATAGTTTATATGCATATTGACTTCCATGAAACAGTCTCTAACTTTATTTCTGTATTTACAAATGCCTGAAAGATGTTTTACAGTATTTATTTTTGCTCCTAAAGATTAAATAAAATAGATTTAAAGCTTATTTTTATTTCAGAATATTTGTTTTCTATTACTGCTGAAAGAACAGAAGTCAAGTATTTGCAGGATATAAACCCTTCTGTAGCTTTTTTTTTCTTCAATAGTGTAGTATAAACCATTTCTGACTTACAGCATGGGAGTGCATAATAAAAGATTCTTGTATACGCCCTAGATTATACATGTATGTGGGAGGGATTCATATGTCTTCAATTAAAATTTGCATCAGATAAATATGATGCATTTAATATTTAAATAAATTGCATGTCATAGTTAAAATCTATAGTCTTAGTAGTTCTGTGTTCTGTATATGTTTTGGAAATGACATTTATAGTTCAGCTTTAATGATCCAGTGTGACTTGTGCACTTACTGGTTGTATACAAAATGAATTCCTGTATTTTGTTGGATTTGTTCCTTTGAGTTTGCCAAACAAACAATTTGTATGTTAAAGATCCAGCTTTCGAAAGGAAAAATGTGAATTAAGGTGAGAGGTCAACATGGCCACACAAGTAGCTGATAAAGGATAACGTAAAGACGAGGTTAGGTGCTATAATAACCTTCCTGTGTGAGCTACTGCAGTATCATTATGCAAACACAGTTATAGTATGGCACTGCTTTAAGGTTTAAGAAACTGTGCAACCATAATGATTACTTTAAAATAGTGAATTCAATTCCATCTATTCCATTTGAGAGAAAGATGAGAAGTGATTGCTAATGCACTTTACAAAGTGCTATTTCTAGCGGATAATTTTTAACTCTTTAAGTGGATTAACTGCCACACTGAAAGTATCTTTTTTATTGGTTTGGTTTTTTTTGAAGTGTTGGCTTTCTCGTCTGGTTAATCCTATTTTCAGTTTAGAATCATTCTACCCCTACCAATCACAATTATATATATGTTAAAAAGTCATCTGAATTCCTGATGATAATTGTGACAGGTTCAAAATTCTGTGCTTGTTGCTTCTTCTGATTGCTGGTTGGCATTTTACTTATTCTGGATTCCTAGAGTCAGATAATTATCATCTTAATTCAGGTATGACTTATTATATTATGTGTTTGGTTAAGTATTTCTTTAGAAACAGTGTTACTTTATCTCAAAATTATTCAGGCAGAAAGATACTGTGGTGACATTACATACAAAGCTAACGTAACATGGTTCTAGTTTTAAATAGGAAAGGATAACAAGCGTTTTATATTATTGAAAAGCATTAATAAACTTTCACCATGACAGTCTACTTTGCTTTTTTTTCTATTTTTCCTACATCTGATAATTTCTAGCAAACCTACAAAAAGACCTGTTTTGTATGGTTAGTGCAAATATCACTATTTCAGTGAAATGTAAATGTTTTTCTCACTCTATAAAGTTGTCTATCGATCTTAAATACCGGTAACCTAAAAGCTTTATCTGGCAACTTAATAACTAGTGATTCCCCCTGCCTGTGGACCCTGTGACCAGCGGTATATAGACATTATGTGAACCTATCGAGTAGAGCATTTTTTTCCTCTAAAAATTGCACTTCAGATACATCTGCTCACTTGCACCTCAATTAAAATGAATTCAGACATCTGTATTACAACTGAGCTCTTTCTCGGTTTTAAACTTTACTATTTAGAATCTATTAAAAAAATATTCTCTATTTTTGTGTGTATCTGCTAAATATGCTAGTATTCTGTCACATGTAAGTTTTATAATTGGATATATGTCTTTCCTGAAAGACTATAAAAGGCATTAGGTTCTTCTCAAGATGGGCAAACTTCCTGTCAATAAATATTTATGTAGCCATGGGGATAGCGGTTTTCTGTGGAGCTGTATTAATCATTTGGGAAAATCTATGTTTTGGTAGTCATTTAAAATTGGCCATTATTTATTTGCTAAACTAACACCACTTGGTCAGTTTGTTTAGTATAAATGGATAAATTATTTTCCACAGTGAACCCACAGAAGTGCTCTACTACTTTGTCCAGTGTTAGAAACTTAAGTATTTGCCCCGATACCTTCCAGATTATGCACGTATATAATGTGCTAAGAGCTAAGTGAGGAACTGAATTTTTTTTAAAACAGTCTGTGCATACAGGATGCTTTACCTAAAAACATTTAAAACTTAACTGTTGAGAATAAAGTTGAAAATAAATGAAGTACAGAGGCCTAGTTCACATTATGGATTAACTGTCAATAAGATATTCACTTGAAAAAGCCAACAAAAACTGAAAGATGCCTCTGGGTTAGTTAAGCTATTTGAAATGGTCTGAAATTATTTGCATGTTCTCTTACTAAGATGCTTCTAACTTTAGAAATCCAGAAAGAGCTTTCAAACAACAGTAAACCAAAATGACTGTATCAGTGGCAGCAACGAACGGAAGGAGGATATATGGTTTTGATTTGCAAGTTTTTACTGTGTCATTATAAAGATAGGGACAATTGGGAAAAGTGTAGATGCATTTGGGTTAGAATTTTACCTAGTGTCAATATTTAAAGATACAGGAAAAGGGAACTTGGATTTGTAGTGCACTCTATCATTTGGTAATATTTTATGGTGTTAGAAGCAGCTATATACATCTATTTTCTCTTCTCTTCCTTGATACGACACATCAATGCAAGAAATAATTTCTGACCACAAGCTTACATCAAATGCTAGCGTGAAGTAATTTTTGCAGCAAAATTTTAACCGCCTGTAAATTGGGATTTGTCATATGTTTATGGAGGCTTAGTTCTGTTAACTGGTATTTCCCTATGATATATGTTTGCCTGGACATAGGGTTATTTAGTTGGTATTTTCTGAGTAAAGTAACAAAGTCAACTGTTGTTTTGAAACATCACATAATATTCCATGTCATAGTGTACAGTGCTGCTGTCATTATTTTAAAATTGGTAATTTTTTTTTCTGTTTAATGATGATAGATGTGCTTTGTTTTAAATAGTGAAGTGGTTTGTTCAAAGGGTAATTCCTCTTAAATGGAGCAATTGCTCATAGTGGACATTCACAGATTGAAAACAATTGAACTGAAACTTCAATATCAACCTTTTCTGTCTTTAACAAGAAAGTAGTTCACGGTACAGCTCTCGTATCAATGATGAAAAGAATCCACCATGAAAACAAAACAAAAACCAACAAACCCTTCATCTCTACCCCAGCTATTCCATTAGCGCTTACATGGTAAATTAGTGTAATTTTATTTGGGCCTTAAGCATTATGACTATGGAGAAAAGCTGAATTCCCCACTCAGTTACTTATGTCATGCTTCTGGATCTGATGATTTATAGGAGTCTGAAAGACTTTTTATCACATTCTTTCTTCATGGCTTAATTCAACGTTGATTTATTTGGTAGCATTTTCAATTGATGTAGTCAATAGTGTCAATAACGGAATGAGGATTAGAACAGATTATCTTTGTGCTAAAATTGTGTAAAGAATTAAAATGGATGAACAATTCTTGGATACAGTTTACCTTTTTTATAGAGGACAAGCACATCAATTGCTGAATGCCACCATTGCAGTTACAGTTCTAAGTATGTGTCTTTTGCATTTTGTAATTTAGTGAGTCTTCAAAGGATCAGGTATGTTAGTTGAATTCAATAACTGATGTTTTATGACACTGTTTAAACCTACCATGAGAACACTGCCTTTCTTTACCTAGTCCATTTGTAGTACTCACTCTCTGGCTCTCCTGTAAAATCAGCTAATCTGACTATAGCTCATGAAAATTTTAAGCATCTGTTAGCTTACGAATTGGAGTCCTTGCACAATTTTGTTCCTCAGTCTGCTATTTCATGGCAATTTTAATGTGAGAACATACAACCTCTGCTTATGACTGCATGAGTGAAAAGAAGTCCACGTTACTAATGCTCACTCACCATCTGTTTTTCTTGCAGCTGGGCCTTGAATAATTGTCCAGTAGCTGATGGAC